AACTGTTCATGTCATCAACTAATGCAACAAATGTTCAACTTGATTAGACCGGTAAGAAGTAACATTAAAAATAGATGCTGAATCATCAATCACACACATTATATAGGATTGTATCAGATTTAACATCAGTTGTGGAGTTCCAATCTGTATCCGAAACAAGAAAATGATTTCCATGAAAACTGGTGAATATATAAAACGAGTCAAAGAAATCTACTTTTCACTAATGTTACTACATCAGGGGGAAAGGTCGATATATTTAAGAACTAAACTAGTTCGAATAGGAGTAACATAGGAAACAGACATTTTCCAATCAACTATAACATATAATCGCATCTTAAGAAAGAGTAATTATCTAACATGGTAAATTAGCCGACAACCGTTTAGGCGTCTTGGCAGTATCCTAACCTTCACATAAACAGAATGATGAAGTGTGGTACACATTTATTTACTGTCTTCTTGTACCAGTGTTTATATGTTTAAATAAATAAATCAATGTCTGTTCATATATTAATTTATTGATGAATTGATACTAATTACTATTCACTTCAACTCATATAATATTTGACTATTAATCCGATTGTACATAATGTATGGAAATATTAGTGTATTCAGATTCGTATTCGTTATTACCCTGTCAGATACATGGTTTTCCTGCTGAACTACCAAATGTACTGTTCAATTACAATAATTGCTAAAATAAATATCAGAAAATATTACCGAAATTGATAGTTAATTTATGAAATTTATCAACATTGTAATGACTTGATTTGAAACTATCAATGTTCACTAATATCATGTCTTTGATTCACAAATAAATACCAGTTTATTGTAATAACTAATTTCAAATGTAGTAGTAGTAGTAGTAGTAGTAATCTCTACAAATTACCATCTCAAATTATTGCTGATCTAATGCTCACTAAATAATGAATAATAAATTTGTATCAGAAGGGGTTTTTTGTGGAGATTTCAGTGATTTCAATAGTTAAGATCATGAGTTGAGTTTAGATAACCATGGAAAACCTGGAAGCACTGAACTGCCATTTTATCCTATTGTAGGACTTCTCAATAGTGTGCATCCACAACCCCACCTCGTGAGGTGCTGGTCCAGTGGTCTGGTGGTTAAGTGCTAGCGCACGAGACTGATAGGTTCTGGGTGCTCACTACTGAGAAGTCCCACAATAGGACGAAACGACCGTCCAATGCTTCCAGGTTTTCCATGATGTTCTAGCTTTAATTGACTCATGATTTCAACTATTAAATAATAAATTTATTCGAAGTTATAAATCTAAATCATTTCAATATAATCTACTTACCGAAATGAAGAAATGGATACAATTCTGACCCAATTGTCTGGTTTCTTAAACTTTGATTATTACTATTATTATTATTCAATGATGATGAATAAATTGTATTTTAAATGTACAATTCATAATACAACAACAACAAAAACTGAGAGAAAATTAGTCTGTTTTTTAATAGTTACAGTAGGATATTTCTACTTTTGTCTTTTTCTAAACTTTTCTGCTGTGTAAATATTCATTTATAAATGTTATTTTCTAGATATTTTATTGTTATTGTATATTGTATTCATTTATATACCAGTTATATAATAGTTATGAATAATGAGAGATAGAAAAGGGAAAGTGTTTGTTTGTTTGTTTGTTATTTTCTAATCAAATACAATGAGAAATGATATTTCCTTTAAATTTCTCAAGGAGATAACTATTTTACTCTATTGAAATTTTAAAATCTCTTTTCTTGTAACTGTTTAGTTATTATTTAATTCCAAATTATAAACGTTCTCTCATGTTGATCTTTATAAATGTAACTAAATAGTAGCTAATAATTATAGTGTAATGGAAATTGTAATAGGGGACGAGTTTAGGTCATAATATTGGCGTATCAAAAGCCATTATCGAAAATTAATTTATCTACCCCCTCTTACTCACTGACTATCCGACTACCTAACAACCACCCACTCACCCATCTTGTACATACAAAAGAGTTTCTTCAACAATTTATGTCATTCTGTCCCTCTATATCAAATTATACCAATAAACACACACGCAATATATATATATATATATACATTGGCGTAAACAAATAGTCAAGTTAATGGTATATTTTTATACATACAGTTTAGTCTGGACAGTCACCAGGTTGGTTTACTGTTGCTAACCTAGCGCCGATAACCATTTGACCTACCACCACCCGTTTACGGTAAGAAAAAAAAGTCTAATCATCAGTAAACAAGCTGCTTAAGAAAAAAAAAGGATTGAAAATAAGTAAATTTTCTCTTCTTAAAATTGTTCTTAGTCAATATCTAAAATCGAACTATTTTAGAGGGAGAACAAGAAAAATATTTTTTTGTTTTTTAATAACGAAATCGTTATGGTTGAAATTAAACTTTTGCATATTTGACTTAATTTGAAATAATATCGGTGTGATTATTATAAATTTGTTACTGATATTGTTAATTACCTTATCGTTTGTTGATTTATTCGATAAAACACAAAAATGAGTAAGTATTAGGCGCCAGTCTGTCTATTTAAAACATAAACATTTGATTGGCTGAAATAAACAACCAATACAATATCAAATATGTATTTTTACAACTATCCTAAACACACAGTCTTAAATGGAAACAAAAACAAAACCCAAAAAAACAAAAATAAAACACAAAATTCAATAGGCACCTGTCTGTCTATGTGTATCAGACAAATTGGAGCCAGTATAAATGTTGAATATGATTGGTTTACTGGTATTGTTTAATTTGATAAATTAGTATATAAATAAGCTGTGTTAAAACTGTGTTTCCAAATAAGAATACAATGTAACAGTATTAAAACAGTTGATGATTGTCAGTTCATTTTTTTTGTAAATTCAAATGTTATATTCAGCCGTTAATCAATGTGTATAGAAAAGTAGAATATAATCAAACTACATTGAAACGTTTGACATATATGGAATAGGACAAATATTTTGATGGGGTTTTGTTCTTTGAACTGGATGGTTTGGTCGTGGAGCTTTCATCTTTCTCTCGAATGACATCATCAGCACAAACTTCAGATAGAAGTCCTGAAGTTCAAGACCAAACCATTCGGCTCAGAGGACAAAACTCCATCAAAATCATTCACCTGAACTAGAAATCGTCTCCACCATCTCATAGGATAAATATATTTTGCAGTGAAAAATAGCATGAATTTATTATGTTGGTTGTGATACAAAGAAAAAGAAACGAAACCGATTAGCCAAGATAAACATGAATAAATCACCAATTGCATTAAGTTTCTATTAATTACTTCAATATATCTCATTTTGTTTTGTCATGAACAGATCAGAAGTACTTATTTCAGAATTATTCATGAGTCTTTTAGTCAGTCTCATGATTTTAAGATGAACGCTTTAAATATTCATTCTGAGACTGTAATTTATGAACAACTTTTGAGCGACACTAAATTGACCTTGGGAATTAGAATCATGATTTACAGTTGATAGTTAGGGTTAGGAATTAGATTTAGTGTTTTTACCAGTAATTGATCAGCTAAAATACCGAAACACTATTTAGCCAAACGGATACATGAATTTCGCGCCAGAATACAAGACCTGATACTCATATCTGATCGTTTCGTTCATAAATTATGGTCTCACTGAGTTGTCTTGTTAGATAAGTTGTACCTCACTGGTTTATTGTCCTGTCTGTTTACAATACTACAGATTTTGTTTAGTACAGTTTTTTCGTTTATTTAAGACTTTACTGTGGTTTTGTTTAATCGATAATCAAAATAAAGTTTTATCACTACTGAGTCGTTTACTGATTAGTACTCAGTGAAAACAACAATGGATCCAACAGATAATGAAAGCTAGAATGATAGTAAATCCCAGCTAACTTATAAAGTTATTTCATATACTTGGATTCATTTTTACCGAAATGTAAGTACAAGAAATATATGAAATAGTCTGCAGTATATAATATTTGATTGATAGCAAGAGGCTGTGATCAATAAAAATTACAATTTCAGTATAGAACTGTGGAGATCATGAACTGATCAGTGTTAGACTACCACTAAAAGCCTGGAAGCACTGGATAGCTGTTACGTTCTAATATGGGACTTTCTATCAGCAGGCATCCGAGATCCCGCTCGCCCGATTGTACATAGATCAGATTTTTTTTCATAAATTACCATTATTAACACAATGATCGTTTTTTTTTTTTTATTTAACTAGGTATATTATTTGAATATAAACTTTTGTAACTATGATGGACTTTGAGTATAATTCAGTTCATGAATACTTTCCAGTTAAGTGTTATTTTGGGTTAAGTAATTGTTAGACAATTAATGAGTTGAAAATTCTTTCTATCTCCATTGATTCTACTGGTTTATGATAAGATTGTTTAAATTCCATGGCAGTTGTAGTAATGCTAAGATGAATCGTAAAATAACGCTAGAGAGAATCCTCATTCCTACTGATAATCGAAAGTGATTACTGTCAAACTTCTTAGTATAGAAATTTGTTTCAATCCATATTGAAAATGTCTTTTTCATAAATACTTGAGTATAAAATATTGAAGCTTTGAAGCGACGTCAATATCTCTTTTGTTTCTTTAGTGGGTGGGCGTATTCAGAAATTTTTAACAAGATTATTTAGCCACAAACTGCATTAAATTTATTATTCAGTTTGTAAACTACAGTCGGTTTTTAACATATCTGTAGCATAGAAGTGATTTTTCACCACCCAATTTCTATGTTGATAAGCTTTTTGTTAGAAACCACCTAGTCTAGACCACAGCAAGTTCTATTTGACTTAATGTTATTACAAAGAAATGTAAGAATTTTTATTATTTATATAATTTTGAAAGTAACATACGACCTACCCCGAACTGAAGTTTTACATTGGAAAGAGAAGATTCCATTTTAGATGTTATGACAAGATAGTTTCGAATTACCATATTATGGACTTTTGAAACTTATATAAAATAATAAAATTCATATTTATAAGCTTACATCTATACAAGTTCTTATCTGTCATAATTATATAAGTAATTGAGAAAGCAAAAACAGTCTTTCTTCTGATAGAAAGTGATTATTTTTGAAGTCAGCGCTGAAGTTTGTTAACTTGTGAAGTAGAAACTTTTCTATCTCATATTTTAAGTGTATAATGCTGGATGAAGAAAGTACTGAATTGCGTCGCATGGCAAGCCCTCAGTTGGAATTCTCAAGGCCAAAGGAAAAGAGGAATACCAAAGAACATATTACGCAGAGAAATGAAAATAGATATGAGAAGAATGAACAGAAATCGTATAGAACTAGAAGGGAAGGCCCAGGATAGAGTGGGTTGGAGAAAGCTGGTCGGCGGCCTATGCTCTGTTGGGATTAACAGGCGTAAGTAAGTAATCTTTATGGTCCAATTTGTTAAGATAACTTCTTCAACCATGAGGAAAAGAGAACATTTACAGGAAGTCATGTTACTCGATAAACTACCTCAAAACTATGACATTTACACATTACTGAATATCTTGGCCAAACTGATTTAGTTCAAGATGATCAGTTTAAACAATTATTATATTGATTCCTTATAAAGTCGTGCTCTTTCATTCTATTCATTAACAATATAAGAACTGTACGTAAAGTTAGTGGTACAGTTATTCCAATATTTCAATGGTAAATTTATATATTTTTTCTTCCTACGTGCAAACAAATACTAAATAAATCTAGACATAATCACTTTACTGTATTGTCAACTTTAGAAATAATGAATTGTGTTGAATATTTGTAATGGTGAACTAGTCAACCAGTAGTTTACGTGTTCGAGAATATGGTCGCTGTTATTATTCTGAAGCAATTTGAATAACTCTCCCGGTCTCCCATACTGTACGAGCATTCTATGAACCTAAATTAATGGTTGCTCTAATTGTCAGAAGGGGCATCAGCCTCGTGACTTTCGAAGGAACTCGGCTTTCACCATTAAGTGTCATAACTTCTCTAAATGAAGACCTTCTAACTCCCAGGCCAGAATTTCAATGGTTTGAATTGTTTTTCTGGTTAGCGTTTTTTTAGCGAGTTGGTTTTCTACTGAGTTGGGTTCGCTAACCACATGCCCAACCCTCCTCCCTTATCCGGACATGGGACCGGTAGTAGTCCCAGAGGGGCTCCAGGCAGAGTTCGATTATTATTATTATTATTATTATTATTATCAATACATGAGTAATCCAATCAAATCCAAGAACAAATACGGACTGTACATTTAAAATCACTTTTACACTTATATCTAACATGATTCATATAATTTTCTCAATATTCTAGTCAACATTTATCTCAGATCTAAATTTCGTACTAAAAGTATAATGATATAATAGTAATGTAGTAACCACCATTCTGATGATAATAATAATTCAATGACATTGATTGATTGTATCTTTTTCATTGTAATAGTGTTTTATTACTTTAATTCTATTTTAATAAAGAATTATGATTCATCATCAATTTGGCAATAAGTACATTCTAATAGAATAGTATATAATCACTAGTCATTAGAAAACTCAAAACCTGATTTATGTTTTTATGTTATAGATTGAATTGGAAATTATATTACTACTAGGCAATTAATCCGGGGTTTTTTTTGAGGATGGTTATAATGAATTAACCAATAATAATCAGGGTGTATTAGACAGACATTTTTTCTCTTAGTTTAGGACTTTGTTACAAACCACATTGTCAACATGGCTTTTATGGTGTTGTATAAAAGTGTTAAACGGCGTATATTAAGATTTAATGAAGATGTTGTCATATGAAAATTCAAATCCCCTTTATGTATTCAATAACAGTTTGTTCTCACTTTAAACTTACTCTGGTCATTATCGAGAGTGGTGAGTTGTCAAATTTTTTTCACGGTATTTTCTTTATTATTTTTGTTTCCTTCATTTGTCTAGTTGACCTATTTATTTTTATATATAAATGTTCGTAGCTAATATATGTGTGATCAAACCGTTCGAAATGTATTGCGCTAATATATCACATAGTTCTCGTAATTTTCGTCTTTTTATTACACTATCTCACACTGACATGACGTAAGTACAACAATCTTGAAGTGAAATGAAATTTGACTAAATTATATTAGTAAGCACCAGTTGTCTTCATGTTTACAGCTCCTTATCAAACAATTGTCAAAAGTGATAATATCTCTTACGAAATATCAAAATGATTCACTGAAGCTAGAATATTCGGAGATTAATTAACGGCTACTTCACTATCATGTATAATTTATTTTGATAAGCCTTAACATTCATTCTATTTGAAGACACACTTAAAAAGCTCAAATTCACATAGACTAACAAAGTTATTGTGGAAAGAAACAAATATGATAAATGTCAGATGCGATCTAAGCTAGGCCACCATTGGAAACATGGAAGCACTGGACGATCGTTTCGTGCTAGTATGAAACCCCTTAGCAGTGCGCATTTTAAGATCCCACATAGATCGACTCATGAATTCAACTATTAAAATCACTAAAATCTCCGAAAAGCCCCATTCTGATAATGACCATCATGTGCTCACTAGTGACTGGTTTCAAGATGGATTTCCTGGAGATCTAGTAAGAAGCTGTGACCAGTGGAGTCCAATCAGTGTTGGGTTGTAACAATTATCCACTTCAGATAATGGATGAATAGTTTTGCAAGATCACAGATCGATTAGAGTTAGACATTAACACTTCTGGATGCTGTCGCAGTGATCTAGAAGTCAAGTGTTCACTCGCGAAACCGAAGGTTCTGGATCCTAGTCTCTCATGAGGGATCATGGATGCACACTGCTGAGGAGTCTTATGCTAAGACGAAACGGCTGTGCAGTACTTCCAGATTTTAAATAGTGGTCTAGCTTTGAATCATGAATCAAACTATTAAAATTACTACGATTTCCACAAATCATCATTCTGAAAATGTCAGAATACACATACTTAAATGTGAATGATAAGAAAAAGTAAAAAGTAAAAATGAAACTTTGAATTAGCAAACTTATTACATTTTTAAGTAATCTAGTAGATTTTTTTTAAAGAAAACTATTGTGACTATGTGATGTTTGTAATGATTATTAAATTTGTAAAATATTTTACAATACAGACTCAATTGTATGTTCAGATGCTTATAGGTATGTTTATCTGACATGAAATTATTTACGAATAGAATGTTCTGCACTACACATTATTATTGACAGATACTTTCGAAGATATTCAGTCAAAAAAAAACATTCATCATCGATCATAGTAAGTTTTCAACCAATAAGAACTGATGTATAATGAAGCTTTTCACTGGTAGTTTAACCAATTTCAACATATAATAATAAAAGCGACAAAAAACCATACAACCTCATTGAATGTATCAGAGATCTTGGATCTTTTACTCTTGATTAACCATTGACTTTGCAACAAACAATGATCAAAGATCTTTTGGTGGAATAATCCTAATTTAAATGACAGTTTTATTCATTCAATATTTTTTTCTCAACTGATCCGAATTTTCTTAGAATATTTGTACTATTGGGATTTCGTCTATGTCATTTATTTCTTGATAAAATCAATTTTCTGTTGAAAACATTGGGTTTACCATGTTGTTTTGGGTATAGTGATCATGGAATTTAAATTAGTAATTATCTTATATGATTGTTTTGATGATGTTTCGAAGACAGTTTCTCTTATAAAATAACGTAAACTGAAAGAGAACAGTAAGAATCATTTGGTATTGAATGGTTATTTCATTGTGAATTTCAACTAATTACCACCGCGTACCTACAATTCCTCATAAGGGACTGACTTCAAATAAATAATGGTTTACAGCGAACATGATATATTTTAAATATTGAGTACTCAGTAACTAAAATATTCAGAATATTCCCTAATGATAGATGCAACAATTTTAAATAATTGTTAGTAATAATTGAAGATCCATAATCCGAATAAATATAGGTCAAATAGGATGAGAGAGATAATAGTGCAAAGCAGTGACCAGTGGAGTTCGACCGGGTATGTCGTGAAATAGTAACTCACTGAAGACAGTGGTGGATGTGTCACTCAATTTCATGGATTAGTTGAAGTTAGATATTAACACCGTTAGATGCCGGCCCGACAATGGTGTAGGGGTTAAGTGCTCGCGTGCGAGACTGATAGGTCCTGACTTCGAAACCCGCGAGGTAGGGTCGTAAATGTGCACTGCTGAGGTGTCTCACAATAGGACGAAACGGCCGTGAAGTGTTTCCAGGCTTTCCATGGTTGTCTAGCTTCAATTGACCCATGAATTCAACAATTAAATTACCAAAATATCCACAAAACCCCTCTCTGAATATAATTTTATGCTTCAATTGAATGAGACTTAACAACAACCTTAACAAACAGTCATAAAATCATCATTTTATTGAACCTGTCAAAATTTCATAAACCTAGAAAAAAACAAAACAAATGAGTAGTATTTTATAAATAAACAACAAAAATGTTTTACAGTATATAAGACAGTTAATATATGGGTGGTAAATTGTTCTTTGGGAAAGAAAAAGCCAACAGAAACTATTCAGATTTTATTTATAGCACATTACATTTTATTCATTTGATGAGTACTATCCTAGTGATCGGTAAAAAAAACTTTTAATTTAAGCGGACTAGGTTTATAGTTTGTATCATTTGAGATTTAATCTTATTTATCAAACGGTAGAAAACAAGAAATGATTAAACAAATTGTTTTCTAATTTAAAATGTTGCTAATAGGTTCATATGAAGAATTTTACATGGGATTATATAGTAGTTACGTTTCGGCTACAATATGTAAATCTTTTGATTTACATTAAGGTGTATATACATTTTGAATGTGAAGGATTATCAAATCAACTTTTAACCAACTGGACTAGAAGATTCAACTAAAACAATCATGACTACATGATTGTTGACAGAATACAAAGATAATTAGTAAGAGATGTGAAAAATTCAAGCAAACAGATACAGTTTTCATTGATCAACATCAGTAATAATATGAAATTATTATCTTAAAGCTTACAATATGGCTTTGGAGTATATTACAAAATAACTTTAATGGCAAGAACAATCACTGATATTTTAGTCTTAATTATGTAGATTAATTAGTATATATAGTTGATAAGTCTTCTAAAATCTGTCCAGGATAGAGTTCGGTAAAGAATGTTGGTGAGTAACCTGTGCTACTCCATGAAGGGTAACAGGCGTAAGTAGTATACATATATGTACGTAACTTATTGAATACAATCAACATCAAAATTAGGAACAGTGACAACGGTAAAACTTTTGAAAAAAGTTCACTATATATATTAACTGGTTTCAAGAGGTATATCCTGGAGTTCTAGTGAGAATCAGTGACCAGTGTAGGTCAACCGGCTATGTCGTGAGATAATAACTTACTGATGAAAATGGTGGATGTGTCGCTCAATTTCATGGATTGGTCAAAGTTAGACAGTAACATTATCGGATGCCGCTTAAGCGCCTGGCGCGAGGATGGTAGGCCCTGGGTTCAAATCCATCTAAGCGGGGTCGTGGAGGCGCACTGCTTAGGAGTCGCATAATAGAACGAAATGGCCATTCAGTGTTTCTAGGTTTCTCATGTTGTTCTAGCTTCAACTGACTCATGAACTCAACTACTGATATATTAATAAGTTAATTATTAAACTCTCATACAGAATGGCCGTAATAACAAGTGAGTAAGGTAGAATAAAATGTTAGAATACCACTAAATGATATGCGTTTAATCTTGAGTTACTCTTTGAGTTTATGCATTATATAGACAAATAAATACATTCAAACATAAATAAACCGGAAGTAATCTGGAGTAAAATGACCAGAACAATCCAGTTTTGTTGGCGTAGATAAAAGAAAGGGAGGGAGAGAGAGAGTGAGCATAAAAAAAGTGATTGATGGTTTCATATACTGTACTTATATACTGAGAATAATAGTAAAATTTATATTTCACTAAGAAATTCATGGTGGTCGTTTCAATGGTTTAATCAATCATAAAAAAAAGAATGAGGACAATAACATTACCAAGTGTAAAATAATCATTTCATCTTCACAGTACCTTTTACATTCATATTAAAAATGAATATTTTAGTATACAACCACTACTTTTTCTGGTGAGAATATTATGATTGAAAAGAAGAAATTTTATTACCATATAGTGATAATGTGAATAATCTATTTGTTCGGCAATCTCCTATTCTCAATACAAATAACAACTTTGTTAATACGAGATAAAATGTAGTAAAGAAAATGTTTTGATAAGTATAGTTTACAACTGATTGATCATTGAGTAGAGGAGAATGTTATTGTGTGTCTAGACTACTTAAATGCTGATCAACTAGGATTATGTCTACCATTTCAAGTAATTCGATATCACATGTACTATGTTGAAGTACGAGGTGATTAGAGGTAATTGATTGTAAATCACTCAGTCCTATAGGTAGTCAATCGCTGTACGAATAGTTTCGCATCAACATCTCATGCAATGAAACTGGATTAATCATACAGCAAATATTAGTTCTTTTAATTTTAGAGATACAGAATGCTAATATGTATGAAACTTAGGTATAGAGTTTCTTCTTAAGAACCTTCAGTCATCTAATAAGTGTAGTTTTCCATGAGCAACCTTTTTGAAATATATGATTTACATAGTTTATGGTATTTTTTAAAATATATGTTTAAGCAATAAGTGTAAAGAATTTCCGGATTTTGGGAGATTGTACGGATGGATAAGCATTCATGAAAAGTTTATCCAGTAATGAAAAGTTTCTGATTCGTATGTTTATTGTTATATGCTTAGTAATATATATACCTCTTAGATGTGTCGATTCCAAACGCTCTTTAGTCAGTCAGTCAGCTTCAGCGTAGGACTAGTCACATGTATGTATCGGTCCAAGTTGCCATACCTCATTAACACAATAAGATAAACACCGAATTCATAGAAGTAGTTGATTTATTGTTGGTGATATATAAAATAAAGATTGTATATAAGGATAAAGTACAGGAAGGAAGAATTAGTTCGTAAAAAGAAAGATATAAAGAAATTTTAATCTCATAGTTTAAAGGAACACAGAGAGTATACACACCGACGCCATTGTGATCGATTCTGAGTCATGTCACAAACAGTCTCCAACCATTGGTTATGATAATCACATGGACCCCAACTAAGTAATCTGCATCGACCAACATGGGTCAGACTAGAAGTTACTGACTTGAAGGACCGATGCTACGTTCTGGTTTGGTCACCCCTAACTTCCAATCATCTCTAACACTAGTTAGCATTGCGTGTCGTGGTAGTCGGTGTTCAGATATATGCAACACGTGGCCCAACCATATCTTTAAAGAATTTTATTTGAATGGGAACACTTATTTTGAAATGTATGCCTAGTGAGCTCAAAATTCTTAAATTATAAAACTATAGTAGTAACTAGATAGTAAACAGCAAACAAACACGTCTAATTTAAATGGATAGAAGGTAATGAAATCCGTTACTCTTGGATTAAAGAGTAATTTACTGAGTAACTACTTTACACGAAGTGCTCATCTATCAGAACTATGACAATTTATATTTTAGTGATTGCCTGTTTGATTTTTTTAATGAGAGTAATTTTCAAAAAAGAATTCTGATCTCCTATGAGTAGCAGTAACAAACTGAAGTCATCTGTAACTGGTTTATGTAGTTCAAAGAACTTGAAATTATTCTATAATCCATAATTGTATTATTAGTTCATTTAACAGGTATAAACTATTGTACTTGGCTTCAATCCAAACTTACATTATGAGGTCTAGTAATACTATTCGATCTTCTAAACCAATGTAAGTTGGATGGGATTCGAACCTGAGAATTGGTATTTAAAAGTCTAAGTCTTTAAACACTGAACCATCAGTTTCAAAGGATAGTTCATGCAAATGAGATTATAACAGAGTTGCCTATTTCATATTCATTTAACAATGAATAAAATAATTTCTTATTTTTTTTCTCAATTTTAACAGGTTTGTTTGATGGTTATTAAAACAACAAAATCAGGAATTTGATCGTTTTTTGCCTGTATAGTAAAATATATAGCTTAACTACTCTTTTCTTTTTATCACCTTATCACTTACTTTATTCTATGTCCTATATTTAATTCTAATTGTCAATGAATTGCATATTTGTGTTGAAATAAGATGATTTCGTTACTATTTTAGTAATAATATTATTGTTATTGTAGCTGTCATTGTCACTTCTTTCTTTCTTTCTCTCTCTCTCTCTCTCTCTATATATATATATATATATATATATATATATATATATATATATGAGGTTACTTTTTAGAGGTGGCTTATTCTCTATGCTTCATTACAATATTTCTCGTTCTCTTACTCTCTTGCTTTCTTTCGCTTTCGTTCTCTTTCTCTTACACCTATTATGTTATGTTTTCGCCTTCTCTTTTCTATACACCTGTATTGAAACTTCTTTTCCAACTTATAGACAACATTAGTTTACTTGACATATCTGACAATGAATAAGTGTATATTGTGGAAATAAATAAGTTCACTTTTCTTTAACAAAATAAAAAGATCTTACTTCTTTTTATCATTGACAATTCAATAAGTAAACAGTTGAATGTGGTTTGCCAAATTGA